ATTCACACACTGGTGATGGCAAAGTTTCCTGGTATCAGTCAAGAGGCGGGCTGCTGCATTTTGGACTGTTTGCAGTCTAAGAAGAAGAGAAGAGGGAAGACCGTAGTACAAAGAGTTACAATGATCCAGGATATGACCATGTTTTAATTGTTGGTGATTTAAAAGGCCTTCCTCGCCCTTATTGACACTCAGTGGGTGAGCGAGCCAACTCATTGAAAAGGTCACACACTCGATCTGGTGCTGTCAAACGGCCTGAATGTTTGAAATCAAAGACTGTGGGATCATTTCCCTATGATGTTTAATATGATGTTGTGTAATCAGTGTTGGGGAGTAACGGAATACATGTACCGCCGTTACGTATTTAAAATACAAAATATGAGTAACTGTATTCCGTTACAGTTACCGTTTAAAAAGGTGGTATTCAGAATACAGTTACTTTGTTGAAATAAATGGATTACACTGCGGTACTTTCCTGTTTCATATTGTCGCGGGTCAGGACTGTTTGGGTTTGTTTGACAGCTACGTTCTGTTGTTCCAGGCGGCAGCGTTACGGTTGCCATGGTTACAGGGCGACGCTCTCTCTCTCTCTGCGACTGTGTGTTTCCTGGGTGAGAGAGCGCCTTTTCGTTGTTGTTGTTGTTGTGCTAAGCTAACAGGCAGAATGCTACAAGCATAGCTCTAAAGAATGTAGCATCATGGGCAGTGTAGTCCGTGCTGCAGGGAGAATGGACTGCCATACACGTTATGGGTCTGTGAGCGAGGAGGGAGAAAAAGGGGAGTGGAAAGGTACGAGCAGTCATCGAGCAAAAACGGGAGCTGGAAGCATGTAAATATAATAATAACCACTGCAGCCAAGAAGAGAGCCTGACGAGCCCAGTTGTAAGTAAGCTATTAAGACTCGACTGTACACCGTGTTCGTGTTTTCCTCCGAAAACAATAAGTTCCGTTGGAGCAGCCTTTCAACGCCTCTCTCTGTCTCTCGCAAGAAAAGTTGACCCACACAACAAAGTAAAGCTATTTTTCGGCTACGAGCCGACAGGGACCCCGCCGTATTAGTCAGAGGTCCCTTTACTACAGTTCGGAGTCGCGGACCTTCAGTAATAGTAATAAATCACAGCAATAGTACATTCACGTTGTTGTAAAAAGCATGATAATATATTAAGTAATCCAAAGTATTCAGCATACGTTACTGTCATTGAGTAACGTAACGGAATACGTTACAGAATACATTTTGGGGCATGTATTCTGTATTCTGTAATGGAATACATTTTAAAAGTAACCTTCCCAACACTGTGTGTAATCCGGAGTTGAACAGCGAGTCAGTTAAATGCATTGACCGCTGTTCACTTTTCCTTTCATTATCTCTGCTCTTTACGATGCCAGCCTACCCGTTAAAGAGCTGATCTGTAACCCTAACGTACTCTAGGATGAGGGACTCTGCTGCTCCACTCAGGACTAAACGCAGTAAATCATCAACCTTGGCTGAAATAACCCACCTACACTCTCAGTCGTCACACAGAGAGAAAGTAGAAGAAGGACAAACTCCAGGTGTCTTCGGGCATCCTACACGACTACTTATCAAAATATCAGGTCACTTTTAAAGCTGCAAAATCTGCTTTTCTGTCCAACGTCCTTTCTACCAACACTCACAAGCCCCGAGTTCTCTTTAATATTGGTAATTAACCCTGGTGCCACTGTTCCTACAGAGGCTTCCTCTGCACTTTGTGATAACTTTGCAATACTTCAGTGTTAGACCTAGATCCACCTTCTAAGTGCTCTACTGTTTGTCAGCAGTCTGGGACTTTCATTGTCTTACAGGAAGTAATCAGTGAATTGATATGAGCTCAAATTGTGGTCATAAATATTTTGTACTTGTAAATCAGGATTTGTATGTGTAAAAAGAATTTGTGTGGACTTAGCCAAAAAAATCTGTGTGAAACTCTGCACTCAAGTTTCAAGTTACAAGTACGAATTTTGACCCTATTTTTCTTCCTTTCATCTGATTGGCCAATGTCATGTCAATCACAAATTTAACTATCCAATCAGAGAACAGGTGGATTTGGCTATTGGAGGGGTGTTTCATGGAGCTTCAGGTCTTTGAAGGGAATAAATGCCCTTTTACATGCCAGCCCAGCGTTTTCTTTCATCACCACGAAGGAAAACAGTCTGTGGTCGTCCGAGTTTGGTGATTTTTGTGTCACAGGTTTACGTGTTTAATACAGGGACTTCCACAGCCTTTTCAACAGCGCTGCGAACCTCAAGGGGGCAGTGTTGTGGAAATGACAGTCTTCACTAGTGGGGATACTTACAAAGCTTTCTTCATTATGAATTAGCATACATGTTTTTATTGAACATTTGAAGAACTAGCAAAAAAACCAGAAACTCTTGTAGAGGACATAAAGTTAGAGATAGAAACGACAAGGAGCAGGTGCATCTAGTGCAGGTAGAGCTGCTGCACACAGAGCCCAGCAGCCAGCAGCAAATTCTGGATCCTTTGCTTTTAGTTAGCAGGTAGCATTAGCAGCACATGCTGCGTCCGATGTGAAAGGACTTTTATGCTGCGCACTGTGACTCACAGCAATGGTAAATGGCCTGTATTTATATAGCGCTTTACTAGTCCCTAAGGACCCCAAAGCGCTTTACACATCCAGTCATCCACCCATTCACACACTGGTGATGGCAGCTACATTGTAGCCACAGCCACCCTGGGGCGCACTGACAGAGGCGAGGCTGCCGGACACTGGCGCCACCGGGCCCTCTGACCACCACCAGTAGGCAACGGGTGAAGCGTCGTGCCCAAGGACACAACGACCGAGACTGTCCAAGCCGGGGCTCGAACCGGCAACCTTCCGATTACAAGGCGAACTCCCAACTCCAATGGTCCCGGGTCAGACCTGACTTTGTGTTAAACTAATCCTAAAGTAATAATGTATTTCTAATCACTGACATACCACAACTTTATCCTTTCAACAGCTGCTGAAAGTTAGGGGACCTAGCTGCTATCGGATATTTATATAGAGATCCTCCAGCTTCAAACTGTATTACCCTTCAAGGACCTGTAGTTCAAAAAAGCAAACCCATCTGTTCTCTGATTGGATTGTTACATTTGTGATTGATATGACATTGGCCAATCAGACGAAAGGAAGAAAAATGGGGTCAAACTTCGTACTTGTAACTTGAAACTTGAGTGCAGAGTTTCACACGTATTTTTTTGGCTAAGTCCACACACAAATGTTTTTTACACATACAAATCCTGATTTACAAGTACAAAATATTTATGACCACAATTTGAGCCCATAAATTAAGACCTTCCAATTCCCCTCACGATGTCCTCCCTTCCCACCTTTTCAAGGAAGCTCTTCATGTTACTGGGGCTAGTATTTTACTTGTAATTAATGCTTCCTTGTATTTGGTTGTGTACCAGCTGCTTTCAAACATGCTGTTGTGCAAACCAAAAAAAACCAAAAATCTGGATCCAAATGTTCTTTCTAACTACAGGCCAATTTTGGAAACTCCTAGATTTTGGAAGAGGTTGTTTTCAGGCACTTTGTGACATTTCTGAAGAGTTCCAGTCTGGTTTTAAATCTCGTCACAGTGCTGAGACGGCACCTTTACGAGTTTGTATTGACCTTCTTTTTACTGTTGGCTCAGGTTGTTCTGCTGTTTTAGTCCTTTCAGATTTGGCTGAGCCTTTGACACAGTTGATGATGACATTCATTTATTGTGACTTGAACACGTTGTTGGTCTTGAGTCACAGTTTTATGATGGTTTAAATCATACCTGTCAGAGCGGTCTTTTTCTGTTGCTATTAGAGAACACTCCTCCTCCTAGTGTGGTGTACCACCTCCTGCTTGTCATCATTCCCAGACTGCAAGAAATTTCAGAGTGTTTTTAAATCGCTCTTAGAAATTAGATAAGAAAGTGTCCACAGGTGATAAGATCCATTTTTATCAGCTACCTGAAATTGCCAAGACGAAGCCTCATCTTTCTCTTAAAGGTTTAGAAAAACATATTCATGCCTTCATCACCTCTGCAGCTCTCTTTATTTGAGCGTTGAACACTTAGTCCGAAATGCAGCTGCTTGTCTTTTAACAGCTGTTAGAAGTCATGATCACATCACTCCAGTTTCATATGAAGTGGCTGCATTATTAGCTTATTACCTGTTAGCTAACGGTGCCACGAGAGAAAATGAGCGACATCAAGAAAAGAAGCAAAATCTGGAACCGTTTCAATTTCATTAACAGCAGGCAGAGTGTAGAGTCTACAAGAAAAGGATATCATAGAGAGCCACAAACAACCTGCGCAGGCACCTGAGAGCTGTCCACCCATCAGTGCAAGGGGAAGATAAAACACAGTCAGTTGAGTGTGATATCAATGAAGGTGCCAGTGTGTCTACTGTTGCTGCTGCATCTGGAGCATCTTGCAGTACACACCACAACCACCTAAACCAACCCAGAGCTCTATGAGACCCAGCAAGACAGAACTCAGCTGATAAAGACCTGCAAACATGACTGCACTTTATTTCCAACTATTTTCAGTTGCGGATGTTAAAGGATTCAGAAAAAATATTCATTTTGTGGATAATTTTATATTGTTGTTGATAATAAATTAACTAAAGCAACAAAACAACCTGAAGAGCCGGTTGTGAGCTGAAAGAGCCGGCTCCCTAAACCCCCCAGAATTCCCATCACTAGTGCCGTGTTTCCAGATGAGTCTTCAATCCCGCCCACTCACATTTCAAAATTATCAACTGCAGACGAGTGGGCGGAGCTTCATATCTGACAGGAAATTACCTCACTTCTTTATTAGAAGAAAAGAAAATTTGAAAACATTTTAAATGTAAATAAAACACTCACATTTTTTAAATGCCCAACAAATTCATTATTTTTAAATCAAATTGTTTTTTAAATGTTTAAAATGTTTATGTAATGTTTGAAAGAGGAAATAAAAGCAACCACAAAAACAACAACAAAGCAATAACACAAAAACGTCGAGGCCATTTTACTTTTATTCCATTGTCTCCTCTCAGAATCAGTCCAGCTGTTACGTCAGACTAATGTCTTTATGTTTGGGGTCAAACTGACCTGAAACCTTCCAAACATGACTGCCATATCATTTAAATAAATCAGTAAAATTAACTTAATTTTTTAAGTAGCAGGTACTTAATATGCAAAATAGTTGAACTTGTTTAAAAATAATAAGTTAAATTAAACTTAAATGGAACAAAATGTAAAATGAACTGAGTATAAATGTTTTTTAAAAATCAAGTTAGCATTACTTAATTTATTTAAGTACTTTTGGCGTTTGGGTTCACAGTGCGGTGGTCGTGGCACTCCCAGATGGCAGCAGCCTCCCCAACACACCTCAAACACCGAGGTTAAAATATTTGCAGGTGATTTGAATGTTCTGGCTGATTTGTGTAAGCGCAGCATAAAGTCTCATATTTCTTTCCCAAGGAGGTCAAAGTTGCAGCTTCCTGCCATCAGGTGTACAGTGAGTTATTGTGCTGATCGACAAAGACTTCCTGGCTGCCGAACAGGCTGGAGCTGCTGGAGCTGACGCCACCGATCGCGGGCAGGTAGGAATGATGGAGGATGGGCAGCTGGACCGACAAACGGCGCCGCATGCTGACAGAAATCACAGACAGGAAGAGAAGCAGTAAAACTTCTTCCACTTCAAATATTCACGCGCCTCTAATGTGTCATTTTTCTGTTAAATACATTTATTAAGGACACTGATTGGCTTAAGTTTATATTTATGCATGAAAACTGCACTGAAATTTGGAAAATGTCATTATTCACAGAAATATGTTCATCTTCAGATGAGGACAGGGCGCTGTGGGAATGCGACTAAGTAACCCCAGCAGAAGGGGTTACATGAAGGGGATCTCTGGAATATTTGATACCCGACATGCAAACTGACGGCGAAACATCTGGTAACTCGGTGTACAGACATCGGCAAGATGTAAACGCTGTCACAAGTAGAGGTCGATAAGGTACAACACAAATTCTACAGCAAGGGGGAGCCAGTGTTCACAGAGATGCTTGATGAACAGTCACAAGGAGTAGCATCGAGAAGGAAACTAGAGGCCACGATCAAGGTAGAACGGAGCAATTTCGTCAGCTATCAGAGCTGCAGAAAGGTGTGATGAAGAAAAGGACACCTAAGAAGTACAGCAAGCAGTCCATACCTGAGGCCTTGGAAACTGCCAAGCAAAGGCTCACAGCTTTGGCTAAAGCGGTGCGCCAGAGAGATAGAAGGCAGGAGAATAAACCAGCTGTTCTCCACAGACCCGTCCAAGGTGTACTCTCAGTGGCAGGGGACCAATATGAGAACAACACCACCGAGGCTGGAGACGGAGCAATACTGGAAGAGTATATGGGTGAAGGACGCCGAACATAACAAGAAGGCCTTAGTGGATCTAAGAGCAGAGCATGGCAACCTCCCTGAACAGGGACCAGTAACCATCACAGTGGCAGACATACCAAAAAGGGTCTCCAGTATGATGAGTTGGACATGACAGACACCTATACTGGCAAAAGAAGCTGACTGCACTCCATTAGCATCAATTAGCACAAACGAACTGCCTGCTAATCAATGAGAGACGCCTGGAATGGCTAACTGAAGGCGGGACACTCCTGATGCCAAAGGAGCCCAGAAGGAACTGGCCCATCCAACTACCGGCCAATAACCTGACTCAGGACCATGTGGAAGAACCTGCGAGGCATCATAGTGGATGAACAGACACATGGCTCAATACGTGGATGGAGAAACACCAGCTACTAGCAGACCGAGCAGTCACCCAAGACTGCAAGACCAGACTGACCAACCTGTGCACTGCCTTGGTTTGACTTCAAGAAGGCCCATGACTCGATGCCCCTCACTGCCTAATGCCAACACCTGTACAAGATCAACAGGACCCTGAGAGCCTTCATCAGGAACTCAATGGGGATGTGGCGTACAACACTAGAGGCCAACTCCAAGCCCATAGCACAAGTCACCATCAAGTGCGGGATCTACCAAGGAGATGCTCTGTCCCCACTGCTGTTCTGCATAGGCCTGAACCCCCTCAGTGAGATCATTAACAAGACTGGCTACGGATACCGACTACGGAACGGAGCAGTTGTCAGCCACCTCCTGTACATGGATGACATCAAGCTGTATGCCAAGAGTGAACGAGACATCGATTCACTGATCCACACTACCAGGCTATACAGCAATGACATTGGATGTCGTTCGGACTGGAGAAGTGTAGTCGGATGGTAACAAAGAGAGGGAAGATACTCTAAACTTCCAGAAGTGCAATCCCATAGACATAGAGGACAGCTACAAGTACCTGGGCATCCCACAGGTAGATGGGAACCATGAAGAGGCCGCTACGAAAGCTGCAACTACCAAGTTCCTGCAGAGGGTCAGGCAAGTCCTGAAATAGACGCCACTAACATCAAAACAAGGAAGCTCCTCACCATGCGTGGAGGGTTTCACCCTAAAGCCAGCACCCTGAGGCTGTACGCTAAGTGAAAAGAAGGACATGGAGGCAGTAAGCGTCACTACCACAGGATGAGACAACTAGCATACACAAGTAAATCAGGAAGATGGCCCCAACCGACCGCGTGCTCAGTGAGCCAAGATCCTGTGGGACTTCCAGATAATGTCAATGTAATTATCGATACACGTTTGACTTTACAGACACATGAGCAAGAAAATGTTTGCTATGTTTCCCTCAGGTGTTTTGTGTGTTGGACTCACTGTTCGGGTGAGTTGATGTCTTTCAGGGTCGAAGCTTCGCTCTCGCTGTTTCTGTTTTTCGCACAGATCTGAGCTTCATGAGTCACTGATCCGATTTCGGCTGCTTCACGGGAAAAATGCTTTTATGTACTTATCAGGAATCACACACTGACAGAGTACATATGTTTAACTCTCAGAGCGAGTGATGATTACCGTGTTTGTCTCTCATCAGACGCTGAAACGTCCCCGATGTCTCAGAAAGCTCCATTCTGATGATTTCTATTTCCACATCCAGCTGCAAACAAACAAACCACACACGTAAAAATGCACATCTGGGAATAAAACATTAAAATCCAACCAATATTTAATGAAGCGCAGACAGCGACAGAGACAGACTGTCTCAGTGAAGCTCCATTTAAGTAGTTAAACACGCTTAAGCCTATAATTTGCTATAGCTCCGCCTCTCTACTCCACCACAGTGAGTTTTAAATAACAGATCAAAGTCCAGATGTTCAACTTTAATTTAAGGAATTAAAAAAAAAACTTTGCATGAACTGTTTAGTAATTAGAGACATTTTCTTACACCGATCTCTGTTTTCAGAGGCAGTGCAGGTTCTTCCTGCAGCACCTTCAGCTGGTTTGTGTGTCTCTGCCTTCATTTTTGTATTTAATAACTCTACTGCACTAAGAACATCTGGATGACTTGCATATGGAAGAAAACCCCATTTCATGCCGTGAGAAACTCTTGGGTTGCTTTGTGCAGTTTGATTTGCTCGTTATCCACGTGCACTGTGAAGCTCTGTGTGAATGTGAGCAGAGAGTTCAGCCCACTGCTTCGGTCACATCAGCAGTGAGCTGGCTCCAGGCAGCCATGCATGCCCGTATCATCACGCTGCCTCCGCCATCGTGAGTGTAACCAGCCTTTTGCAGCTTGCTGTGAACTTCATGAAGCTGTTTCCTGCTTGTAGACTCGGACAATGACACGCCACCTCTTTCAAAGTGTTCTTGGCTTGGTTACATTTTGTGATGTTTGTGTATGAAAGCGATAAAATACTATTTCAACACTTTGAATAAACATCAGTGATTTTATCTGCTTCATTTCCCCTGACATAACAGGATCAAAGTGAAGCTGCTCATTGGTCCAGTAAAGTTTAACTCTCAGCGTCAGTGACTGTGTATAAACAGTTTAAGCAATATTTGAAACCCCTTGAATTCAAAGTGGAAGCCTGCACTTCACTCACGTCTTCATTATTAGATTTAAAATCTATGTGTGGTAGAAGTTTTTGATAGTTTTGATTGTGTACAGATGCAAAACGACAAAAACTGTCTTTGTCCAACTAATTATGGATCTAAGTGGAAGTGGAGAAAAAGCTCGCCAAATCTTCAAACTACATCAAATTTAATTTGAAGGAAGGAAAAACAGGCGTCGGTTATAAAACTGTTCCTTCTGTGTTGTGCTTCTATTCTCTCGCTGCAGCTGACTGTTCACAAAGGCAGGTGTAACGCTTCACCTGTGCACTTTCACTCCTGAGCTGCTGATTCAACCTGCTCAGCTGATCTTCATCTTCCTGTGCAGCATCACCCTGCAGCCCGGACGCCCGCTGCAGGCCGCCGCCGCCGCCGCTCCAGCACACAAACACAATCTGCAAGTAGACAAAGGTCAGTCATCATCGTTCATGTGTGATGAAGGAGGAGCCACGAAAACAGCGGTGTCTGCATCTGTCTGCGACCTAACAGCTGACTGCCCTTCAGCCTGTCATGGCCTCCTGTTGGGTAACATTTGCTCATTGCCATAGAAAACAAGCAAGAGTCCAACACGCAGCATCGGTCCTGCCAGATGTGCAGCATCTGTTGGTGTGACCTAAACTGCGGACATCTCTCGATCGTGAGTCTTTTACCCTCAGCGGGTTTGCGTTTGACTCAAAGTCTAAATGAAAGAATGAAAATACGAGGCGTGACGCTGACCTTCGGTCCAAACCACCCGCTCAGGATGAAGAGGTTGCAGCAGAGGATGAGGATGCTGCTCACACAGAACTGAACTGGAGGATTGTGGGACATCAGCAGCGATCCCGACACTCCTGACACGCTGAACGCCGTCAGGGCAAACGTGCTCAGCGCCAGGTGTTTGCCGCTGCCCGCCGGCTCGTTGACCTCTGCGGTCCAGATGTTCAGGGCCAGGAAACATCCGAGAAGCTGAAGACAAAACATCAGGTTTTATCAAAACGCAGAAATCCAGTGACCCTCATGATGAGCTGCTGATGCTCTGATCCTGCAGCTCTGTCTTGGATGGACTCTGTTAAACTTGGATCACAACTGCCATAAAAATCTGGTTTCAATCAGCTGATGATTAACAGTTTTAAAACTGGAAAAGTTACAACATTACTGATATTAGAGCATCTTTGTTATTTTTGTTCTGAAACTTATCACAAAACAAACTCAAACTGAGAAATCTGTGAGATCACAATCACTGATTGGTTTTCTAATTGATTATCAATAAATCAAACCTCTAATTTGTCACACATGTCTCAAAACCAATTACATGGATGCTAATTTATAAAATTCACATTTTAAATATCAGCATAAAAATATTTATTTGCTTTTTTTAAATATATACTACTTGCCCAGGACGAAGTCTATTTTTATGGCATGTGATGAACAGTATGGCCGCATGGGGGTGCTAATGAGGCTACAAACTCTTTTCTTCTTGCTCATTTTTCAGTGAACTGTGCATGTGTTTTAACGTCCAGGAATAGAAATGTTGATGTTAGGAAACTTATGTTCTTATATTTAAAAAAAAAACAATTTGTTTTTTTTAATTATAAATCTTATTTATTGTGATGCTAAAGAGGCTCTGCAAAGATAAAGAAGAAAATAAATAGAGGTAGGACGGCTCAAAATAGGACTTCTTCCATCTGCAACAATTTATATTTGGTGCTAAGGCTCTGTTCATTGTACATGAGAAGCAGAGGTGGTAAAACAGAGCAGGAGAGTGGTCCATACAGGGTGTGCCTGTATTATTATTATTAATAATAATAATAGTAGTTCTTAAAGATTGCAACTTGGCCTAAACTGCAGCGTAACATCAGATATTTGATAAGGACTTTGAGTCTGACCAGCAGAGGTGCTTTGTATCCATAGACCACAGTGAGCCACAGCTCCATGTTAACACTGCTGCAGCGTTCAGAGTACGGCCGGATGATGACGTCCTCCTCAGCAGCGTCGCCCTGAAAGACCAGAACAGTTGGTTTGCGTCAGTCCACACAAACAAATGATCTTCAGTTTACATCTGCAGCAGGGGCCAGGGTCCACTCAGCAGCAGTAAGGGTGGATATGGATGGATGGACGGATTTCTCAAAGCAGTAAAACAGTAAATATATTTTTATTTCTAATTTTCACTAAATCACTGACTGATAAACAATAGTGGTGATGAAAGCTCAGATGCATTTCCCATCAGCCCCTTTGCTGTTATTTACAGTAAATATTTGCATTTAAAGACCTCTGTGTTGTGCTGAAGCACCACCCATCTGAGGGGGTCCAGGATTTGCCAGGAGGTTAAAACAAGCGTGTCCACCAGGAATAACCAGAATAGGACGCAGCCTGCTGACGGCGCTCGGCTCTGCTGTGGGACGTACAGAGAAACAATCAGAAACAAGACTTCAGGGATTTCATAGTTTTATAGTCTGAGGCTCACAGGAGTTCAGAAACTACGAGCAGACTGTAGCAGCTGATTTACCTTCTGATTGATGCTGGACACCGAGTAGACCCTCCACGCTTTAGTGAAGAGCGCAGCGAAGCCCACAGTGTGCCCCACGGCGAGAGTCCACAGACGGACCTGCAGGACCCAGAATATCATTTATCATCTCTCACAGTTAGTGAAACCTCCAGCAATCATAAACTGCAGTTCATCTAACATCCAGCAGAGGCAGGAGTGAGGCCGGGTACGCCCCCACCCTCCCACAGTTTAAGGTGTGAATGTGAGGTGAATGGTTGTGTGTCTCTGTGTGCGACAGACTGGCGACCAGTTCAGGGTGTGCCTGCTGGGATGGATGGATAGACAGATATTAAGGAGGAATTTTCATAATTGATTATGATTATTAAATATTTCAAGGAGCCCCGTTCACACATCACAACATACTTTAATCCTTTTTGCATCACCCTGAGCTAAAAACTGCTCTGCGTGTCTTTGTGATTGAGTTAAACTCTCTGGTAAAAACTCCAAACCACGAATACTCGATTTTTCCAGCCTCGTGCTGTTTCTGGGACAGAGCTGTGTGTTTTCAGTTCGCGGTCGCCGTGTAAGACTCAGGTCAGGCGGAACTCACAGAACAAAGAACCCCAAACATCCAGTCCGACAGCGAGGCTTCGTCCAGGCCGGAGAACAGCACCGAGGAGGAGGAGAGCAGGACGCCCAGCAGGAGCAGCTCGTCCTGGGATGCACCGCCCGAGCCGAGCCGCCTGCGGGCAGAGGGCGCTCAGTTTCTCACTGTTTGCTGTAACGTGTCGGTGAACTTACAGACGTCGTACCGGCGTTTGTGGTTGACGATGACGAAGAAAAGGACGATCAGAGCGATGATGACGGTCACACCGGCAGCTGATGATATGACGATGTACAGGCGGAGGCTGATGTGACGGTGCTGCAGAAGGACAGCAGGCTGGTCTTTAGCTGGTCCTGGACCTGCAGCATCAGCACATCTGATCAGTGTTTATCTTTGGTTCATCGTCACCGAGCAGCAGGTCGGCTTTAACGGTGCAATTCACCGCAGCTTTACATTTTAACTCTTCATCTCTTCCAGTTTTGATGCCTTTCAAAATAAAATGTAAGTTTAGTTTCTGACCTTTGAACCTGAGCAGGTGGTGCATCAGGCGGAGTTGTTGGGTGCTGGTATTGAACTCCCCCACCAGGACACCACTGCTGACTGAGCACACACACACATCATGGATTCATCACTGACTGACGGTGATATAGCACGAAATCATTGTTTACATCAAATTAACTTTGGGATCTTTGGCACCTTGAAACTGGAGCAGCTCAATCGACGCCATTCTCTCCCCGTTCCGAAAGAAAACCGGACCCTGAAAGCACAAACATGTTCACGGTGAGGCGAGTTGGTCTTCAAGCCTTTCAGCTGGACGTCTACGCTCTGTTTTGAAAGGCCTGATGACCACGTGTGGTCAGTGACGTTCGTTACTGTGTGTCTGCTCACTGTGACTCCTTCGAACCGCGTGCTCCTCACGGCCTCCAGCAACATCCTCGCCACCTCCTCCTCGCTGACCGTCACGTTCCTCCGAGGGCTGTATTTCTCTCTCTGTTTCGCCGCCTCCGTCGCCTGGCTCAGAGCTTTGGCAACGACCCAAACGGCATCATAGGCGAAGGAGTGCAGCGAGCTGACCTCTGACCCCTCCTGGATCAGCTGCCTGAGATAGGAGTCCTGGTAGTCCTGAGGAGTCTGCAGGACAAGGCCACCATTAAAGGACCTGCTTTATTCTAAGGATGATCAAAAGTCCAAAAGTTGTCCTTTGATTAAAGCTCAGTTTGGTTCTTCTCTGTGAAGAGTGCTATATCTAAATAAAAGTTATTATATTTGCATTATTATTACTAGTATTTCAGGCTAACTCTCCATCTGTCCTGCACAGATTCGGGGGGCTGCGAGGAACCTGAAGCCGTAACCTGCAGTTCCACTAATGACCACTTGAGGCCGACTTTGAGTGAGTCAGTGCCCATAAATTTGACTCCCATGTTTTTGGCTTCATTTGTAGATGAAACCCTCACAGTCTGTAGGTTCAGTTTGCTAAAAAGCTCCTCCCTCGTATCCCAGCGTAATCATTTCTCGCTCCAAAAGCCAAAAAGCATCAGTGGGGCCATCTTTTGTACCCAGTGTGAGGGAGAGCAGTGGCCTAAAGCCGCTGCCTGCGGCTCTACAAGCCTGACTGTTGCATGTTTGTTTCAAACTGTTTCTGACCCGTCCAGAGACTCCCGGCGTGTTGGCGTTGCCGAGCTCTCGGACCTGCAGTCGGATGGACCCGTCTGCCGCCACCAGGAGGTTGTTGGCCGTACAGCCAGAAAACTTCCACCCCAGCCTCCACCCAGCTGCTCCTCCGCCAGCTACGAGCCACTGGTACCGAGCTCCAAACAGGTTCAGTCTGTACGCCTGAGGAAACAAGACAACAGGCTCGTATTATCCACCAGGTCAGGTCCGTGTCCATCACAGGCTTCTACGCTAAAATCTGGAAAAGCCAGAAATGTTATTACAGAAACCCTGGAAGATTAAAAGGCCCTTAAAGTGTGTCCACATACTTTTGGCTCTGTAGAGTACTTACACAGCAGAACACCTCAGACACAGACTCATCTTCCAGCTGTGCGATGATGATGCGAACGTCCTCATCCTTCAAAATAAGAGCGAGTAATAATCCTTGAGTTTGGGATGAGGCTCAGCTGCTTTGACGGCACTAAGAGACTGAAGTGAGCAAAAGTAAAGGGACGCCTGTACCTTCAGTTTCTTCAGGCGGCCGCAGACGTCTCCAGAGAGGCTTTCTGCGACGGCGACGTGAACGCCGGCTCTCAGCAGCTGTCTGATCAGATCCTTCTTCATCTGCACAAATAAAAGTAGTCGGACGTCTCACAGCTGCTTCGTCATGAGGCTGTTATTCCCTAACATTCATTGTACTGTGAGTACTTCATAAGTGCAAAAACTGCAAGTTCACTTTAAGCCTTAAAGGTTTCCTCAGAGTTCAGATTCCTTCAACTTAAATCGGCCGGTTAGTTTGACCCACATTGAAAATAAGAAACAACATAAAAGGCAGAAGAGACGAAGTACTCACACGTGAATCTGAAAACAAAGAATTTCTTTCTTTAAAAACACGACTAAGATTGTTTTATTATCCACCCCTCCTACTCTGCTGCAGTGGCAGAGCTCATCGTGCTCTCCTGGCTCCTGTTTTTAGATTTTAGTGCAGCTACGATTCAGAGAAATGAAATAAATATAAGAGGCACTGATGATGTTGGTTAAGTCCACGATATCAGAGTTTCATGAAAATCTTCATTATTTCAGAGTCACCATTGTAGACTGTATATAAAAGATGGACATGGCTATTGTGACGTCGGCCCCTGGTTACAACAGCCTGTCTCTGAAGGTTCAGCTGTTTTCATCATTGAGATCTTAGATTTTCTAGGTGGAGGTGAGAGGCCAGAGGACACGGCGCGCTCTCACGGTAAAGGATTGGTAACCAGAATGCAACGCCGCATTAATTCCAGCCCTCCTGACTCTCAGGAGAACCAGCAGGTCATCAGAAAGATGTTCAGTGAGGTCAGAGATCAGGTGCACAGTAGTTTCATGTTCTCACGGTAAACGCGCCCCCTGCTGGGCATTAGAAAGAGTGCATGCTTAAGGCTGAAGCTATGCCCCACGTTCACCTCGGAGAGTCTGGGTCCTTCCTGCGTGACCACGCCGACTCTGGTCCACTTGTAGCGCTGCAGCAGCTTCACGGCGGCCTGGTTCAGCGCTCGGTCTGACGGCACCGTGCTGAACAGGTTTCTGTACAACTTCCTGTTGGACAGGCCGGGAGCCGAGGCCGCAAAAGACACCTGGGAAAGCAGAAGTTACCTGTCATATACACGGCTGCATTACGTCACCACTGTGAGGCTGAGGTCAGCACCTGCACCAGGCCGAGCGCCGGAAGAGCGCGAGCGATGAGCGCCGTTACAGGTGGACACACCCCTCCAAACAGCAGCAGGTACTTCGGCCCCGCCCACATGGCATCAAACAGGGCTTTGAGCGCTTTAGCAGGGTCGCACTGGAAGACAGGTGAGAATAGATGTGACACGGGGTCGAGTTCATGCATGTTTCAGCTGCGAGAACATGGAGCAGAGGTTCAACGGAAACATCATTCAGCTTTGCAGCACCACCTGTGCCAGGTGTAGGCTTCCAAAAATGGACCTGAATATGACCTGAAATATTTTTAGAAGTCCAAAAAGGTTGATTCTGTTCATGTGGACGTCTTCAAACACTTCATCATCACCCAAGTTCCTCAGTCTCAGCTGACCGCAGGTTCTACTGAGTGTCCGCGTCAGCGTGACGGCTGTGAGGTCACTTCCTTTATCATTAATAAGCACATTTTCATGGCCACTGGTCAAAGGTCACGAGCAGCGCTCGCAGATAGCTGGCGAACGGCTCCAGTAACATCACTGAAAACGTCCAGATGAACAGAATTACTTTTGGGACGTCCTCACCTGGATGACGCATCAAGAAACTCTTTGGATAACTTTTCCTTTTCCGTTCAGATCTTTTAGTTGTTTGTTCATTACATGCATGTGGTCGCTTTAGAGTCCACATCTGAAAAACGTGCATGTTTGATAGTTTCAGAGATACGAGGCTGAGAGTAAAATCTGCTGCTACGGATCTATTTTTGGTGTATTTATTTATTGATTTATGTTTTGCTTTGCAGTGTGAAATTCTGCAGTGAAAGAAAAAGAGAATAATAACAGACGTATTTGTTCCAACACGGGAAAAAAGATCAGTTAGAAAATTGCCCATATTTAATAGCCTTTGCAGATAAATAAACACAGGCACAGCTTCGGAGTGAAGCTAACGCTTAACCTCCTTTATCTTTAACTTTCTTTATATGACCAGCAGATGGCGACTCATCTAATTACATAGACGTTTATGAGCTCTGAGCTCAGTAACACTTTCCTGGTCTAAAACACGCTTTTTTAAATTATTGTCCCATTAGAGTTTAAAAAGGACCAGAGAGCAGGAGCTGGAGCCTGGTGAGCACGTGCTGTTGCTCAATCATCTCGTCTGGTTTCAAGAAGCTAAAGCAGTTTTTAGAACAGAGTTGTGCCCCCATAGAGGCAGCGAATCACCGGGTCTGAGACCCACCTGTGAGTCCAGCCGCTGGAGCTGGATCTCGTAGTTCCCCAGCGGTGGCGGTTGTTTCTTTAGGTCCTGCAGAGCCAGTCTTACAGCCGGAGCCACGTCTGCCGTCAGATTCTCTCCGCCCAACCTGGAGCTTCCCGGCATCAGCCACAGCATGGGCAGAGGGTGCCGACCCTGAGCCGGCTCCAGCCCCATCGTCAGCCAGAAGACCAGGAGCAACCCCAACCCCTCCTGTACCCGTCCAAACCGGCCCATTCCCCACTCCGGCCGCAGACAGCTGCAGGAAAACTGAGTAATCCTCTTGTGCTGTGAGCAGCTGAGAGCCTGAGGAGGCCGACCGAAGAGATAAAAGGATCAAGAGCAACACAAGATGCCACCGGGATCACCAGCAGACTACACACACACACACACACACACGCACACACACACACACACACACACACACACACACACACACACACACACACACACACACACACACACACGCACACGCACACGCAGACACGCACACACACACACACGCGCACACACACACAGACACGCACACACACACACACACGCACACACACGCGCACACACACGCACACACACACACACACGCACACACGCACACACACACACACACACACACACACACAGCTTCAAGCCTGCATGCTGAACTCAGGGAGGCAGATTCAAAGGGTTGTATGGAGAACAGCAGAGTTCAACAAGCTCAGTTTCTCTTTGAATCCACTTCCTGTTTGGTTCTGTGGTCCCGGGTCAGTGTCACTTCCTGTCCCCGCCCTCTTTAGTTTCACTTTTGTTCAGTTACCTGGTCAGCATACACACCTGCCCGGCAGCTGCATGTCGGCACTCCTTATGTGCCATCATGTGACCCGGTTTCGTCACCATGCCGACCGCCTCCACCTGCTCGGCTCCTGCTTTGGATTAAAGATTTAGATTTTGTAAATCTGTAAAGGAGACGACAGCTGGCCAACCTCCTGAGATGACCTCCAGGCTTTGGTCCTCCATTCAATTCCAGTACCTTTATTTATAAAACACCAAATCCCAGCAACAGTTACCAGGGCCGGTGTCCTGCAGGTTTGAGATCTGACCCTGGGTCAACACACCTGCATGACACGATTAGTTCGTTACCAGACCTCTGAAGAACTTCAAGACATGCTGAGGAGGTCATTTAGCCGTTTAAACCAGCTGACACATCTAAAACCTGCAGGACACCGGCCCTTGAGTTCCCCACAAAGTAAGGAAACCAGAGGGCTGCAGCTCCTCGGGGGAGGACGGATCAGTAAGTCTAGTGCAGAGTCCACAACCCATGCTGTGTTTTTGTCACTTCCTGCAGATGCAACACTTATTGAAAACCCTAAAATCACCTGTTTTGTAAGGTTTCGATCACTGAACAAAGTATGTGTGTGCGACCTGGGCTGCCTGTGGGATCAAACATCCAAAGCACTGACTGAACTCAGTTTTCTCTGGAAATCCAAGTAATGAAGTCCAATAAAAACAGCTCCCTGTGAGAGCCAGTTTGATGTGAGCACTGACATTTTGTGGGTTCAGCACTTACACACACTGTGTGTGTGTGCGTGTGTGTGTGTGTGTGTGTGTGTGCGTGCGTGTGTGTGAGTGTGAGTGAGAGAGAGAGAGAGAGAGGTGGCAGGAAACTGTTGTTAAAGACGCAGCGATCAGGCGGCTCGTCTCCAGCCGGTCAGCCTCACGTGTCTGAACGCTCTCGTCTGACACGCTAATGTGGAAGCTCCACGCTGAGAGCAAAGAGAGCTCAAACACAACAAACCTAAGCAGACACTTGATTTTTGAAGAAAGGCTAAGTAGCTATTTTGATCAAAATTGCAAATCAGTTTGTACAAAGGGTCACCAGCACCTTTATTGCCTTAGGAAACTTGTTCATTTCCACATTGACCAAAAAATTTTAACTTTGTTTTCTCGTTCTTTTATTGAGTCTGTTTTATCCTTTTGTTTGGTGGCATGGTTCGGTCAGACCTCTGTCACAGAGAAAAACTCTCTAAATCAGATAGTGAGATGGTCCAGTCGTCTGATAGGTGAGCCACAGTCTTGTTTAGCCTCCCTGTACTCTGAGCAGGTACAGAGGATGGCTTTATCAATCCTTAAAAATGGTTCCCATCCTCTAAAGGGTGAATTTCAGCTTCTTCCCTCAGGACGGAGGTTTCTATTTCCGAGATGTAGGCCAAAGCGTTATAAAAATAGCTTTGTCCCCGTTGCTGTCACTGAATTAAATAAGAACTGTTTTTGATTCGAAATTTAAAGTATGTGTCACAGTGAGTTTTATATATTTACTAGGTATGTGTGTTTTTAAAGGGATGTCAAATGCTGTCATTTTTCTGTAAAGCAAATTTACCTTGCCTTTGGGTATAAATAAAGTTACCTTACCTTACTAAAGCTATCCAGAGCTCAGCAGCCTCGGTACGAGCAAAGGATCAAAACTGTTAGGGAGGGTGGCCGTCAAAGGAGGCGTCAGGTCAAGGCGAGCTGCGTGCAGAGAAGCTGCATCGCCCACGTTTAGCAAAGCGGCATCATTATGAAATGTGGCCCCAGCTCTGCACAGCAGGGCCTCCTCTCCATCTCTTATATCACGTTATTCGGCTGGTTGCTAATTAAAAGCTAATCGAGCACAAATAAATTCAGCCGTGATCCCAGAAACTGAAATTAAAGGGAGAAAATAAACCTGGTTTTACCACTTTAATAACCCACAAACAAACTTTTTCTTCTTGTAAATAAAATCATTTATTTTACAAACAGCAAAGTTCAGTGTGAGAAACACTCGCCTCCTGCTTTCTTATCAGCTCACACACAAATTAAACTCGGGGACTCAGAAACTTAAAGCTGATTTAACTCTGCGGGACCTCCGTGTGAGGTCATCTTCTCAGACGTGTGCAGTTTCCGGCTCTTCTTAGATTCAAACGGACACAAACTCCCCGTTCGTGGTCGCAGCCGTGATGAGAGCTGCGTCTCCAGCTACGACTTTTCAGGAGGACAAAGTTTCCGAGCTCCAAGCAGCTGCTTCAGAAATCTGAATCAACTCTGTCCTTTGGCCGCCTCTCTCGACCGACCGCTCTGACGGCCGGATCCTTTCCCTCTGCCGCCACCGCCCCCTCCTCGCTTTCTCCTGTGTCCAGGTCTCTGCCCGCTGAACCCTCCGCCCTCCTCCCTGTTGGCCGCCTGCGTCCACAGGGCGTCGTAGCGGCCCGGCGCCTGGTACCCCGGCTGGTTGGAGTCCAGCGGCTCTCTGGAGAGGAGGATCCAGATGACAGGCAGGTTCCTGCTGACCGTGAGGCTGTCGAGGCCAGCGGCGGGCTCCAGCGGCTCCCACACCTCCTCCACGGTGCCGTACAGGAGCTTGGTGAGCTGGTGCAGCCCTTTCACACGCCGCTTCACGATCTCCGCGCACGTGATGGCTTTGGAGACGCCCTTCCCGCTCGCGGTGAAGACAACATGTCTGCAGAGCGGCCGGCCCGGGGCCTCCTGCGGTGCTTCTACGCCGCCTTCCTCGGGTTGAGGTCGTACTTCCTCGTCAGCCGCTCGGGTTTTGGCCTCCATGCGGCTCAGAGCGTAGCGCAGCAGGTTGCGGATCTTGCTGCCATCTTTGACGTGGATCTCCGGCGTGTCGGCGGCGAGGCCGGGGAACGGACAGACACACGGCTGCTCCACGGTGCGAGCTTTGCTGTAATTCTCCATCTGCAGAAACACAGACGACAGACAGGCGTTACACCGACCGCGGTGCTGCAGTCACTGTGATGGAGGCCGGCCCCTGAAGCCAAGCGTGGGCCCGAGTGCAGAGCGATCTCTGTGCTCGCCGTCTAAACTTAAAGCACTTTAGCTGAGGATGGTTTGTGTCACACATCCAAACCTTTATTTTAGGAGCGATTGCAGTCCAGCACATCCTCCCAGAGAAGTCACATTACCCTCCTTCCTGCTTCAAATCAACTGTGTTTATACAGCAACCATTAAAGAAATAACTGCCCTCTGTAAGTGACAGCTCTGAACAGTGACAAAGGTCTGACAGAGCTCCTGCTGCTGTGAGCCGAGCAGACACTTTCTACCTTCCTGTCCGTGTTTCAGAACCTACTCAACACCAAGCAGCTGCTCCACCCAAGTGTCCTGCTCCTGCATCATGAGGTGGAGGCTTCCTCAGCTGCAGGGTCACTGCTGCTCAGACTGAATCATAGAGCTGGTGCTAAGTGAGGACGCATGGCAAACATTAACTTGGTGAATGGTTTCACTGATAGGTTAGTCGGCAGATTAGTACTTTTAAAGCGCAAAATAGAAAAATATAACAACGATGTGACATCATTAGAAACAACCTGAGAAAGAGCTGCAGGGGTGAGAAACACGCCTGTGGGGTCTGCACGGAGCTCAGTCAGGGGACAGCACGGACGCGGACTCAGTGCAGCCACATTTTCACCCGGTCCAGTAAAACCAGCAGGGCTCCAGTGTAGATAAGGGAGAGTTTATTGAGCAAACGACAGGAGAAGTTCAGCCATGAACCAGTTTGTTTCTGTGAGAGCGAAGCTTCAAACCTGTCAGAGGTTTTAACGGAGACTGGCGCGATAACTTCAAGCTGCTTTTGCGCCCTGAGGCTGGAGCCGAGGACACTAAACTTCCCTCGGTGTGGCCGCTCAACTTTCCCGACACGCACCGCGGCTGCTCCGCTAGCTTAGCACTGCGGCGCTAGCTACAATGCTCCGAGCTAACCGGGGAAGCTAACGGAGACAAACCGCCTTCATTCACAGTCAACGTTACACGCTTATAGCTTACCGTAGTCTTCTCTCACACTACCGCATGTTTACTTCAGCTGCACCGCTTAACTCTACCGTAACACGATACGAACTGTCGTAAACTGCTGTGACGCCCTGTAGTTCAACTGTTCACCTGGACGTTTTCAGTGGGACAAACGTTTCGTCATCATCCAGGTGACTTGTTCAGTCTCAGCTGACTGCAGGTTTCCAACCTCATAAACAGGACATCTGCATAATGACTGTGAGCTCAGTTCCTTGATCAATAATATGCAAATTATTATGACAATTGATCATCAACCACTGATCAAAGACCATTTTGCAAATATCCTGTTAAAAAACGCAACGAATTAAAAAACCGCAACAATATGATATGTTTAATATGCTGCTGAGAATATAGCCCAGAAGAAGCGGATAGTATAGCTTTTATTTTGAAAAGAGCCATTTCTCTGTAATAAACTCTCTTTTCCAAAGATGAGGGATTCCTCGATCAGATAGATTTATTATTTTTTAAATTAGTTTGTTGTTTCAGCAACATTACATATAAAAACTGTACTTTTGAGTTAAAATATATATTTATAATTTTAATCAATGACAAATTAAAAAGGCATGAACATTTTTTGTATCGAAAAAATATCGAACCGTGAATTTTGTGTATCGTTGCAGCCCTAGTAATTATATCTATAATTATAAATGTGCTATACACGAGAGCCCTGAGACACCCATATGGAAAAGATATACATAAATCTTATAAAGTTTGTATCTGTCTTGTGTGAAACTTGTATGAAAAGCATATAAGTGTGAAAACAGATATAATATCCCTTGAAAAATTATATAATGAAACTTGTATGTTTCTGATACTTACTAAAACAATGTATGAAAGTAATGCGAAAGTGGCCACTTTCATGAGTAATCACATATAAGTTTTTACTATTTCTTTTCCGTATGGACAGGCTGCCGCCTCTCACCCTGTTCACACAGAATTTCTGCAGAATTTCCTCAGAAAACAAATGTTCTGCTCCCAACATGAATTCTTCCAGCTCTCTCTATGTCACACACACACACACACACACACACACACACACACACACACACACACACACACACACACACACACATGTTTAAATCTATAGTTTCCTTTTGCTCATTAAATCTCTGTTAGTTGCTTCGGAGCTAACGTCCAAAGCAACTAAGCTTCAGCTGCTTTTTACACAATTCGTTTCTAGACTGTTTGTTTGCTCTGCAGTGTTACACATTAACATAGACGAGGGTTCGGGAACATTACAGTTAGCAGCCCTTCCTCCATGAGCTCCATCAGAACCATGAGGGAAAATATGACTGAGTGGGACTGCAGAAGCTTTGTGAAGCCTTGGAGCAGATTTGTTTTGGACAGCAGCCTCGCTGTGATGGTCCCAGTGTGGAATTCATCTGGATTCATTCTGCTTGTGTTCAGGCAGAATTTCTGCAGAATTTCCTCTGAAAACAAATATTCTCCTTCCAACATGAACACTTGCCATCCAACCCTCTTTCTCTCACACACAGTGTTTTCCAGTGTGAGCAGGATCAGAGCAGACATGTGTCTTTAGTATTCAGCATTCAGCCAAATAGCTGGTTAGAGTGCAAAGTTTGGGTGCAGGATTTTCAGGACTGCCTTAACCTGCAGTCTGTCTAATGGCCAGCAGGTGGAGACAGGTGATGTTAGGGCTGTTCGATATAACCATGTATATCGATGACGATATAAAAACATCGTTTCATTTTACGCTATCGTTTGTTTTGTGGTGTCGCAAAATAAACTGTTTACAGCAATATTTTTTCATGTTTTGATGGTCACTGTAGAGGCTATATTCATTTCTTAAAGTTCTCTCTTTCTCTTATATTTAATATAACCACACTACGGACGGACAAGCGCCTGTTTTAATGCGTTGTCGTTTGCAACAACGACGGTAACACCATCGCGTGTCCGCTTGTTTATGTTCCACATAAACCTTTCACAATAAAGCTCAAGATCCTGTGGAAACCTTTCAAAATAAACTGAATCACGTGAAAGAGCAGAGACGGATGAGAAGCAAAAAAGAGCCGCCAGGTGCCAACAAATAGACCTTAGACTCAAACATTAGAACAGGCTTTTCCCCGCAGCACGCCGTGTACAAACCGGATTCCAAAAAAGCTGGGACACTAAACAAATTGTGAATAAAACTGAATGCAATGATGTGGAGATGGCAAATGTCAATATTTTATTCAGAATAGAACGTAGATGACAGATCAAAAGTTCAATCCGAGAAACATTTGAAAGGAAAAATATGTTGATTCAAAATTTCACAGTGTCAACAAATCCCAAAAAAGTATTATAGATTTTTTGATAAATAACAACTTGACAGATATTTGGAGAGTAAGAAATCCAGGAATTAAGAGCTTTTCCTGGTTTAAACCAAATGGAGCTTGTAAGTCTAGAATAGACTATTGGCTAGGAAGTGACATCATTCTTAGCCACACTGTAAAAGTTGTGATGTCAAATGCACCTCTATCTGATCATTGCTTTATTGAACTGTGCTTAGAATCCGAAATTAGACAATCAAATAAAAGAACTTATTGGAAGTTCAATGCCAAACTTTTACAAAATGAAGACTACTGCAACATAGTCAAAAAAATTATAAAAGATATTATGGCTGATCATCTAATTGTAGGATATATCAGTAAATGGGAATTCATTAAATTCAAAATTAGAGAATTTAGTATTCAATTCAGTAAAACCACAAGTCAAAAGCAAAGAGAATATGAATGTAAATTATTCCAAGAAATTACTTATTGCTGTAGTAAAGATGATCTAAATACCCAAGAAAGGAGTAAACTTATGGAGTTGCAAACTAAATTAGATCAGCTCTACATAAATAAAGCAGAAGGAGCTTTTGTGCGTTCACGGGCCAAGTGGATTGAGGAGGGGGAAAGAAATTCTTCATATTTTTTTAATTTAGAAAAGAGCAGACAGAAAAGAAATTTTATATCTTCTCTGTTAATTGATGGCATTGAATGTGACGACCCTAAAATTTTGGAGAATGAAACTTATACATTCTATTCCAATTTATACTCCTCACAGTTCTCCCAAGCAGATTGTGATGTCTTTTTTGATCAAATAGATAATCTGATCCCTAAAATTGATGAATCGTTTAAGGGATTATGTGAATCTGACTTCAGAATTGAAGAGTTAGATGCATCTGTTAAGAAAATGGCACTTAATAAATCCCCTGGTCCAGATGGGCTTACAGTTAATTTCTTCCAGTTTTTTTGGGAAGACTTACGGGAAATTTTATTCAAAGCTATACTGGCCAGTATTGAAAAGGGAGAATTGATGTCTAGCATGAAACAAGGATTAATTACATTAATTCCTAAACCAAACAAATATAAACGACAATTGGATAACTTAAGGCCCATAACTTTATTAAATACAGATTATAAAATTTTCTCTAGCTCAGTTGCAACAAGGCTCAAACAAGGGGTTTCAAGTTTAATTAGTGAGACACAATCAGGGTTTTTGAAAGACAGGAACATTCATAATAATATCAGATTGGTTTTAGCCTTACTGGACTACAATGATCTAATTAGTGATGACAGTTTTATTCTTTTCTTGGACTTTTATAAAGCTTTCGATTCAGTAGAACATCCTTTTATTTTAGAAACACTAACTCTAATCTAACACTAATTATTAACCAAAATGGATAGTTTATCTAGATTTATATATCCAGCTTACTCTTTATCAATATCAAATAAAGTTATTAAAACAATTAATAGCTTGAATTTTAATTTTATTTGGAGGAATAAGTGCCATTATATATCTAAAGATGATTTGGTTAAACCATACATTGAAGGCGGTGGAAACGCAATTGATTTTGATGTAATGAATGGTGTTTTGAAACTTAAATGGTTAAAATCCTTCCTAAATAATCCACACTCCATTTGGTTTTTTATACCAAGTAAGGTCTTTAACACACTGGGGGGTATCGACTTTCTCCTAAAGTGTGACTTTGAAATTACTAAGCTACCTGCTAAACTCTCTGAATTCCATAAACAGGTCCTTCTTTATTGGAAAATGTTGTTTAAACATAATTTCACTCCACATAATAGCCCAATTTGGAACAATAGATATATACTGATGAACAGAAAATCTATTTTTATTCAAGATTGGTTATCAAAAGGTGTTTGGGCAATTGCCCATTTTGTAGATGAGGAAGGACATGTTCTAGGACATCAAGATTTTTGCCAGAAATTTAATATCCAATGTTCTAAAAGTAAATTTAATCGGGTTATAAAATCCATTCCATTGTCACTTAAAAACATAGTTGTAAATGATATAATATATTCTGACATCTCACCCAAGTTAAGGCAATTATATATAGATGGTATTCGATTTTGTGATGTTAAATGCAACAATAAGTTTCTTAGATCTTCATTAAGGAGTCTTTATTCTCCAAATTTACTTAGACGTAATTACATATTAAAAGATTTCCAAAGGGAAGAAATTGGAAAAAATAAGAACTGACACCTTCCCTATCCCTCCTAAAGGAAAGAAGTCCAATTTAAAATCTTGAATAAAATTTACCCAACAAATAGACTCCTTGGTGATAGATTCAAATTAGAAACGGGTAATTGTGTATTTTGTGAAACAGAAGAGGAGGATTTGGACCATCTATTCTTTTTGTGCAATTTTATACAAATATTTTGGTTGGATTTTCATACCTGGCTTTATTCCAGTGGGAGTCAAATTACCCCATTTACCTTAAATATGATAATGTTTGGAGTGTTTTTGAAAGAAAAGAAAGCTAATTATGGTGTTAATGTGTTATTAATCTTGTGCAAGCATTTTATACATAAATGTCGCTTTTTTAAGACTAAACCAACACTAGCTTAAACGACTTAAACCTGTTGGTTAAATCTTTGACTTTAGTTAAAAAGAAAAAGGCTGCTTTTTTTATTTCCTTTATGGAAGACTTTGATTTAGTGAGTTAATAATTTGTTGAATTA